AAATATGCCAAACAGAAAGCTTTGACGGTTCAAACCACTCCACGGGTCCAATGCAGAAAGACCAGGGGATCTGGCTCCCTGAAGATCACAACCAAGAAAACTCTATGGGGCTGCGCTACTCTGTCACGTGGGGTCACCCTGTAAGTCTAATCGACTTGACAGCGCCTAACAGCAACCTGAGAGACACCCACTTCGGGGGAATCACACCTGGATGCCCAGGCTCTCCTTGAGGATTCTTTCTCCTTTAGTAGATTATATACGGTATTTTATTGTTACAATGTTGCCTGTTCATGCTCTTTCTAAATAGTGTTATAAATATATATAGCACATCATTTGCCAAGTTAATGTCTTCCATATGTATGTACAATTGGGAACATCAGTGGCATTAATCATGTGCAAGCATCACCAGTCATATCCAATACCAAATTTTCCATCACCATAAACAGAAACAGTACACTTCTGGGTCTGCCTTCATCCTGCCCTCCCGAACACAATAAACTTCGGTGTCTATACATTTACCCATTCTAGCTGTGCCATATGGATGGGATGACTGACTTATTTCACTTAGTATGATGTTTTAAGGTTCATCCATACAGTAGCACGTACCAGGACTTCATTTCTACTGATCATGTCTTTATTTGTCTAAAATTTTACATCATGCTTGCTGTAGGGGACAACAAAAACCACCCAACAAAAACCCTCTGCCATTGTGTGGATTCCGACTCACAGCAACCCTATAGGACAGAGTAGAACTGCTCCTGTGGGTTCTGAGACTGTAACTCTTTACAGGATACAAAGCCTGGCCCCGTCCTTCTCCCATGGAGTGGCTGGTGGTTTTGAACTGCTGACCTTGCGGTTAGCAGCCCAACGAATAACCGACCATCAGGGCTCTTGTGTAGGGGACAAAGGAGACCCCATATTCAAATATAGCTATATTTGAATTTATTTATTACACACTTATTAAGTCTTAAACAGGATAAAGATAAGACAAAGACAATGCATTTGAGTGTGGGAGACCATCATGGCATCCAAGGATTAATAGAGAACCAGCTGCTTAAACAGGATGTAGGAGTACTCAGGAAGCTATCCCAAAAGCATGGTTGATGGCAGACCAACACATCACAGTTGCAGGAATGGGGCCATGATTGGGACACATACTTGCTAGAGAGAAGAGCTTACAAGATTGATTCAGCGGCTCTCTGACCAAACAATCAGGATATTATCCGATTCTTCCAACCCAGTCTCTATGTGTACTCTTCACATTGCCGGCTAACTGCTTAGAAAGAATTTAGTGGAGGGCTGAATCTCTGTGGAGACTCAAAACTGGATTTTGGATTTTCATTGTAATCATTGCTGCAAACCTGGTGCTTAGAATTTAAGCTGCAATACAATAACTAGTTGCCATCTGAACCCTGGTGGCTTTGTGGGTTAAGTGTTGGCTGGAACTGAAAGATTTGCAATTTGAACCCACCAGCAGTTTTGAACCCAAAGATGAGGCTTTCTGTGCCCATAAAGATTCGCAGTCTCAGAAAGGGACAGGAGCAAGTTTATTCCGTCTTTTAGGGCCACTATGAGTCAAAAGCAAGAGGGGGCTTTTCTTTTGGAGCTACCACCAAAGTTGACTCAGACTCACCCTGATCTGCGTTACAGAGTGGAGCTGCTCCGGGGAGATTTCTTGGCTGCAATCTGTCTTTTATTTTTTTATTTTTTTAAACATTTTATTAGGGGCTCATACAACTGTTATCCCAATCCATACACACATCAATTGTGTAAAGCGTA